AATTATAAAAATTGATCCTATGCATATCAATTAAAACAACACAATGTAAGAAAAAAAATAGGTTTGTTGAAAAAACAATGTTAAAAAATAAATAAATTCTTTAACAGTGTTAAACAGAACAAAATATTATGTAGAAGAAAAAGTGTTTCTTGACATAACAATGAAAAACAAAAATTGGATTCTGTAACATTGTTAAGGTATCCGACAAGGTTCAAAAAGTGTTTTTTGACAAAAATGTCGAATTTTTTTTATGATTGTAAAACAAAGTCCCAACTTTTAAGATCCAAAACAGTCTTTATTTTAATTTTATGTAAATTAGAACTCTAGATATAGCATTTGTAATAAGTCATAGTAGTTGATAACGAAACCGGAAGTAATTTCATCTAGACCGAAAGTGAGCGACATATGCAGTGTTTAATTATTATTTCCCTAAAATGGAATTTCAAAAACAGAAATTTTAATTATCTGTTTACTAATCCACAGTTTCTTAATAATTATTTCAAACAATTTCGTTACAAGCGATTGGCCACGGAAGTTTAAGACTATCACTATTCCGTGTTTGTTTACATTCGACGTTAGGCAAGTGGCATGTAATTTACGGAGTTCCTGTCCCTAAAAGGGGGACGTACCTCCTCATCAGAATTGATAAATTTAGAGCCGAATTAATAGGGTGACATAAAGAATTAATAAAGATTGAAATAAATAAGATGGGCAGAACATAACTGCTGAAAAACAGTAGCGGACGAAGTCCGCTCACTGATGGAAAAATGTTCGACGTTAGGTTTACCACGCCTATCTGTTAATTCTGTTTTTTCTATATTTTGCTTTATTTTTAGAATTTAAATTATTTTAATTTAATCTTAAATTCATTTTACCTAAAATCATGTGTAAATGTCGTTCATATCGTTCCCGTAAAAGAAAGTTTCATGGAAACCAAAATACATGCACTGAAACTGCTTCGTGCAAGGAAAAATATTATTTTACGTAGAAGAAAAAGTTTTTTTTGACATAACAATGGAAAACAAAAATTGGATTCTGTAACAGTGTTAAACAGAACAAAATATTTTGTGGGCATAACAATGTAGAAGAATATGTGTTTTTTGACTTAACAAAGTTCGATTGTAAAACAGTGGATCAAAGAACACAATATGTTTGTGGATATAACAGTAAAGTACAAAAAATATATGAAGAAAATGACATGAAAAAGCAAGAGAACATCACATATAGGATAAATAAAAGTATTAATGTATTTGTGAACAGGCATTGATATAACAAGATTCAAAAGAAAAAGGAAACTTACTTCTCTCCCAAGTTTCGATGTAATCAAAACGAATCCCAACAAGAAGTTTCTGAAAGAAATAAACAAATTCAATAATATTAATTAAAAAAAAAGTAAGTTGAGTAGGTCTGTGTTATCAAATTATTTTCTATTCATATAACTTTTAAAACAAATCAAAAGAGGGACCAAGGAAGAAGATCACGTCAGATTCGAACTACACGTGCTCGGGGGCACAACATCGTACTCCTCATTAACTTAATAATATATTTAAGCTATAATAATTATGCTGCACAAAATATTACGTCATTATATAATATAATATAACATTATAATATAATAATAAAAACGAAGGCAATTCACACAGATCACTTTTCAACAGCGTCTTTTTTTTAAAAAAAAATGCCCTTTTTAGGGCCAGAAATTCGAAATCAAAGCGGAAAGAAATTAAAAACTATCTAAGGCTTCCATGCTGAGGCTCCTTCTCCTGAGGCTGTTCTGTGGTAGACAGTCGATCCCAGTGCTCCTCTGGTATTCCTTCGGGCTCCTTTATGCGGCTCCTGAGGTAGTATGGACAAGGTCTCACTGTTGTCGTCTGTCTAGACCCGACTGGTCTCCCTTCAGTTGCACTGTGTCCTTTGCTGCGTGTTGTCCTGGTCTCCCGGGCCTTGTCATACTGGACTCTTGCTCCTCGCCTGCTCTCTTCTGTAGGTGGATTGAACTGCCTTATCATTTGTTGATGTGAGGGACCTGCAATGGACTCTGGTCCCTGTGAAGGATTATTATTTCTCCTATATTTATGGTTTCTAGAAGCTACAGATGATGGGACTGTTCTCTTTATCCCCTATGGTAGTACAGGTGTTGGTCTTTTCTGGTCTCCATGTTTGGACCACTGAAGCGATCTCTTCCTGCATGTTTTGGACTGCTTTCTAACCTTCCTCTCCACTATCCCATTTGACCTTACTTTACGCTTCAATCTCAGATCCTCCAATCCGGCAGTTCCCTTATTTGATCTACGACCCTTACTCTCAGCATCCGAGGGTCTCCTAGAACTTCTGGATATTCCCGGATATGACCTACTCGACCCATCACTAAACCCCTGTAATTCATATAGTATCTCATCATTACTATCAAAACTAATTGTGTCGGACTGTCTTGGATGGTACACCCGACCTTGGCCAATATTAACTGTGACCCTTTTTCCAAATGATCAAATTGTTATTCCTAACTTCCAACATTCTGTATGGCCCTTCAAACTTAGGCATAAACTTTCCGAATGAGTTTGTACCAGCACCAAACCATTGACTTTGATGTTTACCTCTCTCCTTTTTCGATTATAGTATTTTTCCTGTCTTATGTTGTTTCCGCATATTCTGCCCTGCCTCATCAAATAATTTCTCAATATTTCCTCCCACATATTCAGCACCCTCCGTTACATTTATTAATTTACGAAAAGGTGTTACAATTTTTCTACCTAAGAATAACTCAGCCGGAGTTTTACCTGTAGTTTCATTAACTATGTGTGCAGCGCGAAAGGGTCCCAGTTATCGTGATTTTCTTCTACAAAACAAGCTATCATCTGCACTAAAGTGCGATTAACTCTTTCCGTTAACTTCTTCCGTGCGATTAACTCTAATTTGCCTGCGGCCGATATGTTACCGTTTTAATATGTTTTATGTCCAACCTGTGACTTAAGTGTTCAAAGACATCGGATATAAATTGGGACCATTATCACTAATAAAAAAAACAGGAGCTCCATATCGTGAAATATAATTTTCAAAAAAGGCGTTAGCTATGGCCTGGGACGAAGCTTTTCGTAAAGGTATAAGCTCACTCCCCACTTAGTGAAGTGGTCAGTTATTACCAATATAAATCTATAACTTTCGGGTCAGGATGCTGGGTAGGGGCCTAATAAGTCTAACGTCACGATTTCATTGGGGGGTAATTCGATACTATCGGAATTAATCGACCAGCTAGTAGCGCATTTTTATAATTAAATTTTTGACACCGGTCACAGGTTGATACATATTCAAATATATATTTCCTCATATACGGAAACTAACATGTGTCACGCAATTCTAAATACGTCTTCCTCTTTCCTAAATGGCCTGCTAATAGCAGATTATGAAATTCTTGCATTATTGCTTCGCGAAGAGATTGAGGAATGTACATTCTTAGTGCTCCATGAGTTGCAGAATATTTCGCGTAAAAGAGTAAACCATCAATTAATTAAATCCTGGGACCAACCCTCGCATACAGTTGCATTAATGGAACCATCGTCCGGATTTTCTAAATAATTATAGATGTGCCCTAACTCAGGATCTTCCCGTTGTTCTCTGGAGTTTAAAGCTAAGGCTCGAAGAGCTGCGCACGAAATTTGTGATCCATCCAAATTGCCTATTGGATTCCTAGACAATACGTCCGCAACAACGTTCTGGACCCCAGGTCGAAGTTCCCATTCAATGTTAAACTCGGATAACTTGAGTGCCCATCTAATCATCCAACTAGATAACTGTCATTACCTTCACCGGTAGTGATCCAAAATAAGTTCTAAACTTATTCAATGCCAATATCATCGCCAAACATTCGCGTTCGGTAACTGTGTAGTTTCTTTTGGCCTTGTTCAGGGTTTTAGACGCGAATGCAATAGGTCTGTGATTTTGATTCAGCACAGCGTCAATTCCGACCCCACTAGCATCCGTAAATAAGTTAAACTGTTCCTGAAAATTCGACAATTGTAAAACTGGCACCTCTGTTAATGCTCGTTTTACTTTATTTAAAGAATCCTGTGCTTCCGTCGACCAATTAAATTTAGCCCCCTTTTTCTTTAACCGATATAATGGTTCACATATATCTGCATAATGGGGTATAAATTTCTGATACCAACCCGCCATCCCTAAAATCTTCGACATTTCTTTATTGTTTTTAGGTGGTTTCATTTCTGTGATTGCCTTGACCTTGTTATTGTCGGTTTCAATTCCTTCCTTACTAATTATGAGACCTAAATACTTCAATTTGTCACGTGCGAAGTAACACTTATTCTTATTGAGTGTTAGACCTGCGTCTCGCAACAGTGTAAATGTCTGATTCAAATGTTCGATGTGTTCATTAAAAGATGGAGATGTAATAATTACATCATCCATATAACACATCACAAAACGTCCAAGAACCGGTTTTAATGTAATGTCAATGGCTTTTTGAAAATTTGGCGCCGCCCCTGAAAGGCCGAATGGCATTCTGAGGATTCTGCCATTTTGTGTTATAAACGCGGTTTTTTCGATACCTTTAGGACTAATTGCCTACTGAAAGTAACCTGATTCTAAATCTAGGGTCGACATGATATCGGTGTGCGGGATATTTGTGATCAGGTCATCTATCACTGGTAATGGATATCGCGGATTTTTCGTAATAGCGTTGAGTTTGCGATAGTCAATCGCGAATCAATACGCCTCTGGAGAATCTGAAGGAAGGCCATAATTTTTGCGCGTTAAAACCACAGGTGAGGCGTATGAGGATTGAATAGGATGAATTGTACCCTCCTGCAACATTTTCTCAATGTGATAGTCAATTATTCTTTGTTTGACCCTGTAATAGCAATAGGGCCTTGACACTACCAGCCCCTGGTCCCCAGTATCGATTTCATGGTATAAAACATGAGTTAACCCAGGCTGGTCTGAAAATAGACCCTTAAAACTATTAAATAAATCTTTTAATTTTTGCTTTTGCCCGGCTAGCTCAGTCGGTAGAGCACATAACTCTTAATATCGGGGTCGTGGGTTTGTGCCCCACGTTGGGCGCCACTGTTAGAACCCCCTGGGTTCCACCCTAGACACCAAGATTAATTTGAGGCAAAGAATCCCCAAGGGACATTTGTATAAGAATAACTTATATTTATTCACTTGATTCAAATATTAGAAACTCTAATCATATAATATTTCTATGTTACGTCAAACAAAAGGGATTTACCTTTAATATTAAATTAAATTACGAAATATGAAATTAATCAATAACTACGCGTAAAATCAATAAGGTCTACGGAAATAGGAGGTACGAGAAATACACGCAACTCCAATTATTATATTTCATTAATTTAAACTAATTTTATTAACCTAGCGCTTGTTTTAAGCGATAATAAACTATAGAATACCACCTGGTAATACTTTGATATCTTCAATTGTATATTAGCTTTTAAGATTCCTTCGTAGAGTACTAGCAGTAATGCTTCACTATCGTAATCCAATTGAATCCTCTAAAGGTTGTCTCTGCTGCTGCTGGCTCAATAGCCTTCATCCTTGCTAGCTTACCACGCTCTACTTAAATACCCTATCTACTTTGCATATCCCGTTCTCCTCTCAGAGTTGATTGGAAATATATATATATATGCGCGAATTTATAATCCCCAAAAGACGCCTAAGAATATTAGTGGAAAGGTTCCGTACAGATTCGTCACAAAGGTAACCAAAATTTGGAGTACGCTCAGATATTATAAGCATTGATGCTTATGCGAAAATTGTAAATTTTAAGGTATCCGACTACGTTCGGAACCGTGATTTTGCAAAAGCGTATAAATGGGTAATATTTATGATATTTAGTGTCCCTTAGATTAGAAAACATGTATAAAATTGTTTTAAAAATATTATTACAATAAAAAATTATTTAAGTACAATATTTTGACAAAAAATGAAAGAATGACCAGTTTTCAAAACCTCCTTTAATGAAAAATGCTTCTATTACAATAATATTTTGCCTGTGTATAGCTCAGATCTCTGTACAGAGGCTGAGGTAGAAGTTTTGAAATATATAACTTAGAAGTGGATTTATCCATTTTTTACTACAACAGAGAAGAGAAATTTTAAGAAAAAAACGCCGATAAAATTATTTCAATTGGTAGTAACTCTGAAAGTAATGTGAATTTTTCAAAAATCCTAGTTCCGACTCTCTGGAGAAGTCTTTAATTTATATAAGCAAAATATTTTTTATTATTATAGAAGCATTTTTTATAAAAGAAGAACGTTTTGAAAAAAGGTTATTCTAAGGTAATTTTTTGCCAAAATATTGCATTTAAATAAATTTTTTTGTCAAAATGTCTTTAAAACAATTTGTGGCAAACCTATACGGAACTTTATCACTAACCTTCTGAGTCGTCTTTTTTAGGGAAATTTAATTCCCCTACCTATTTCCAATCAGCTCCAAAAAGAGGACAGGATTCCTTGTTATATGCAGATTAGATAAAGTATTTAAGTCAAACGGAATAGTAAAGTAAAAAGCAGTAGGAGCGAGAGATTGAAGCAGGAAGTTATAATAGTGAAGTTAAAGATTTATTATTGAAGATTTCTAGGTGGATAAATTAGGCACAGGAAGAGCTGAGATTCAGTGTGGTAAATATTGATTTATAATTAAAGTCTCATTAAAGTTTTATATTAGGAGTGAGATTAAAGTTAAATGTTCAATAGGAACATTATTGAATATAATTCTGGGATCTCTTATTACGGTAATCTCTGCGTGATCGATATTCTAATTGTTAATTAATTGGATCATTTAATATTTAAGTTAATATAAAGGAAAGTCCCTTTTAAACCTCATAAAGCTATTTTGATTTATTTGTTATTAAAAGTCTTTGATTCTATTTGGGAAAGATAACCAATTAAAGAAAGTTATTCATTAAAATGGCTACTGGTTCTTCTTTGACTCTAAATCATTCTCGTTGTCAAAGTGAGATCCAAGAGGATCTTCACAAATTTTATACATGTATGCTATTCTAAGTGACACTAAATATCATGAAAACTATCCATTTATGCGCATTTTTAAAATCACGGTTCCGAATGTAGTCGGATACCTTAATGCAGTGCTTCTCAAACTTTCACTACTGGCGCCCCCCTTTTCAATCACAATTTTTATCGCGCCCCCCTTATACATTAATAATGTACTGAAAGTAATAATAATGCACTTTGACGCTAAAGCTACTATACGTGATCTTAATTATAAACCATACAAATTAATAGCATAAGTATTACAGTTTGTATACTACTTTTTTGCAAAATAAATAAATTAAGTAAGACAGTGCTTCTCAAACTTTCACTATTGGCGACCCAATTTTCAATCATAATTTTCATCGCCCCCCCTCAATAATAATGTATTGAATGCAATAATAATGCACTTTGAGTATTAAATTTTGTATACGTTACTTTTATATAATATATATTTTAAGCAAATTACTTTTAAGTAATAATTATAATGTTATGTTATTTTTTAAATTGGGACAGATTGCAAAATGACATTTAATTAAAAATTTATTTCGTCCATCATGCATTTCTAAAAGTACAAATGTCATTAGAACAAGTAATATAAAAAATAAATTTTAAGTCAATTCCTACTTAGGCCAACAAAGAAAAACTTATTTTAGTTACTTTCTATTAAATAGTTTCAATTAATACAAATATGTAATACATATGACAGAATCACAATGCTAAGTGACAAAAGAGAGAAAGCGATTTTCCTTGCAATTTTTCCTTTTCTTTTCTATATATGGGGTATTGAATATTCTTTTTCGTTACTATTTATTCATTAATTAAATTTAATTAGTGTAAGAAAATAGTAAAGTAAAGAAGAAATCACACACATTCTTAGAAATTAGGCCATCTCGGATGGAATTCGAACTACCGTCCTTCAGATTAGAAGCCCAGCGCGCTATCCATTGCGTTACAGGGGACAGCACGAAAAGTTTTCTTTTCTATAAATGCTTTTGGACTATAATTTTTGTTTGTTAATATTTATTCATTTTTTAAATTTAATTAATGAATTAAAATTTGAAAGAACTGTATTAACATGAAGTGTCACCCACTACAAGTTTTAAAAAATGTATTTGAACTTGAATGAATGAATAGAAAGTATTTTATCAACGATGGAAAATTTGAACAAGATATATATGAGAGAGTGAACTTATAGTAGAAATTGAAAAATAGTCTACTTTATGTTGCGCTCTCTCATATCCATCACATCTGGCATTCTCGCGAGCGTCTGCGTGAGTCTGGCCAAACTATGGGACGTCTGCGCAAAACATGTAATAATGCTGTACCTCGTACAATTCCAATCAGTCTTGGTCCATTCGATGCTTCTATAGCTACCAAATATATCTTGAATGTACATTTTATAATTTGCGCGTTAGTTGTAATTCACACTATTAAGTATTACTGCAGAAAATTGGGACAAAAAAAATCATGGATAAATTTTTAAGTCGTAAGCGAACATTCGACGATAATAAAGCATCAACAAGTGCACAGACGAGCATAGTTCCGAAAATTAAATCAAGGAAATATTCTCAAGAATACTTGGATTTTGGATTTACCATTACTGAAGTAAATGGAGAAGAAAAGCCCCTGTGTGTTATTTGCTCAAAAATATTGGCAGCAGACAGTATGAAACCTAATAAACTTAAAAGACATTTCGAAACGCTTCATGGTGAGTACATTAACAAACCTCGAGAGTTCTTTGAATCAAAATTAAAATCATATGGAAAACAAAAAACATTTTTTAAAAAATCTTTGTCAGTGAATGAAAAAGCTTTACTTACTTCTTACAAAGTATCATATAAAATAGCCAGATGTAAAAAGCCTCACACTATTGCCGAAGAGCTTATTTTGCCTGCAGCAATTGAGATTGTAGAAACTATGTTTGGAGACAATTTTGCCAAAGAGTTGCAGTCCATACCCCTATCAAATGATACTGTTTCCCGTCGAATTGATGATATCGCTGAAGATGTAGAGCAACAGCTTTTCGGTAAGTTACGTGATAAATTTTTTTCAATTCAGCTTGACGAGGCAACAGATAGCAATAAAGATGCTCATTTCATTGCGTATGTTCGATTTTGGGATGGTATGTCAGAGGTAGAAGAACTACTTTTTTGTAAACCAATAAAACTTAAAGCAACAGCAATAGCATTATTTGATATTTTAAATAATTTTATAAACGAGGCAAATATAGAGTGGAAAAATTGTGTCGGAATATGCGCCGATGGTGCTCGTACAATGTCAGGAAGATTTAAAAGTATACAAGCACTTGTGAAACAAAAATCTCCACTGTGCATCTGGACACATTGTATGATCCACCGAGAAGCTCTGGCTTCCAAAGAAATTAGTCCTGGCCTGAATATTGTGCTAATGACAGTTGTGACTGTAGTAAATTACATAAAAATGAGACCCCTAAAATCAAGAATCTTCTCTGGACTTTGCAAAGACATGGTCGCAGTGCATTCATCGTTGCTATTTTATTGTGAAGCAAGATGGTTATCACGCGGGAAATTTTTACAACGTGTTTATGAATTAAGAAATGAAATTACCATTTTTCTAGAAGAGGAAAACCTACCGGAAGCTGAGAAATTTCGAGATGGTTTATTTCTGATGAAGTTGAGCTACTTAGTCGATATATTTGAGAAATTAAATATATTGAATCTTCAACTTCAAGGATCAAATGTACATATGTTTGACACGAGTGATAAAATTAATGCTTTTTGTAGAAAATTAGAATTATGGAGCCGAAATTTAAAGCAAAAAAACCTAGAAATGTTTGAAAATGCGGATAAAATGTAAAAACTTACAAAACTGAAGAACAACATGTGGAAGTTGTTTATAAAACTATTGAATATCATTTAGCTATGTTAGCAAAAAATTTTAAAGAATATTTTTTTGCTGAGGACAACTTGATAGCAAGTTACGAATGGGTGAGAGATCCATTTCAAAATACCCCAGAAGGGCTCTCCACTACCGAAGAAGAAAGTTTCATAGATTTCTCATCTAGTGGC